GTAGTAATAGTGGTGGTAGTAGTAGTTTTTGTTGTTGTGTCTGGCGATTAGGGTCCCATTTGGTTTGATATTTGAGGCTTTGCCATCATACTACAATGTATCGGCACATGGGTCCTTTATAGCACGAACCCTCAAGACTGAACCCTATATCCGAGTCCTAAACCCAAAACCCTGAAACCGAAACCAGAACAAGAAAACCCTAAACCGCAGAAGCCCTAGCCCCAAAACCTCAACCCAGAGGTTTTTTATAGACGATTTCGGGAATCGATGGTGGGGCCTCGAAGAGGTTGAGCGAAGCGTGTCGGTAATCCCAAACCCTAAACCGCAAATCCCTAATCCTAAGTTCCTTTAGGGCTTGTGTAGTTTAGGGTTTAGGGTTTCGGGTTTAGGGGTTTAGGGTTTAGGGGTTGAGGGCTTAGGGTTTGGGGCTTAGTTTAGGGTGGCTTCAGGCACCAGGGTTTCGGGGCAGTCTTCCATTTTCAGAGAACGACATGAAACGTCTGCATGAACCTCAGCAGCCCCAAAAACCAATACACTTACCTCGACGCCTAGACTCCTAGACCTTCAGATCCGTAGCCAGAACAAGATACTGTTGATGATAAAAATCCTGCATTACCTTAAGGACCCTCAACTATTGGAACGATGGTAATTCCTTATTATGCGCGATGCAGGATTTTTATCATCAACCGTATGTGTGTCGAAGTACCAAACCCGAAACCGGCAGCTTAGGTTTTCCAGAGGAGCGGCTATAGTCCTCATGTCGCCCTGACAATAAAACCAGCACAGACGCTTTGGGAGGATCGTAAACCTTGAACCCTGAAAAGAATGAAGCCTTGTCCCGACAAACTTCAGAACCGCGAGTCCGAACCCGCTGATACAGCGCCCTTGATTACGGGAACAGAGTTGTCATATAAGGATTAAGTAAGGGTCTATAAGTTACGGGACTTTGAGTATATGTGCCAAAATAAGTAAGGTAGGGCCCCGAGCAAAAAGGGGGGGGAGGCGGTGGTACGTTATGTTAAAAAGCCCAACTGCTGAACTCCTACGGACTAGCAGTATGAATCACCAAGGCCACGAAATTTGTGGGGCCTACAGCACCTCCTACATGATTACCAATACTATCCCCGAGTTCCCTTAGAGGCCTCATGAAAGCTGTACCACAAAGTATATTTTACTCTTCATAAAGCCACTGTACTAAACCCTTTGAGTAACCCTTCTAGTAATCCTTACAGACCCCATTAAACCGGAAACGTATACCTGCAGCAGACCATCCTGATCTGACGAACAAGCGGCTGTCTCCTGGAGCCACCTTGGGAGGCTTGGGTTTACCCGTAGCCGGAAAGACCTGAAATTTTAAGGAACTCTATATAGACATCATACTGAGCAAACCTAAAAAGGCACTGTTTGGCCACAGGTAGGGGTTAGGGCTTTGCCCCAACACCCTAAAGACATCAAATCCAACAGGTTGGTACAAGGCCTTCCGTGGGAGGTGAGGGTCAAGGGTTCACGGATTATGGTTACATACCCCTAAACCCTAAATCGGAAGGGTCGGATTCCTTTCGGACTTCAGACTTGCACTCCTAATCCGAACTTCAAAAGACGGTTATGATTTAGGCTTGGTGTCAGTTGCTGCCTTGCGGGCAAGGCTTTCGTTGGGGGAGCTCCTCCTGTGGCTGCTGTTTGCGATGCTCAACTCCTAATAGCGACAATGCTGGTGATGAAAATGTTGTCGGTGATGATGATGTTGAAAACGGTCTCGTTCGCACCACCAGCATCAAGATCACCATCAATGACAGCCAGACTGACTAATTTATCATGACCAGAAGCACCATTATCTCTACCGGCATCATCGCGCTGTACTCTTCTGGATGAAAACGGGTGTGGCGGCAACCATCATGATAACATCTGGTTTGGCGAGCATTGCATTGGCAACTGTGGGAGTTGATAAGCGATGATGTGTCACCATAACGATGGGGATAACATGGTGAAGGAAATTATACGCCGATAAAGATGCTTCGAATAGCTGTGGCATACTGTGGCGGCAATGATGACTCCGATTGTAGTAGTAGTAGTAGTAGTAGTAGTAGTAGTAGCAGTAGTAGTAGCAGTAGTAATAGCAGTAGTAGCAG